TTCACACTTTCTATCTATTTTACTAAATAGGGAAATTTATATTTTAATTTTTACACAGCTGTGTAAAGCCAAGCTTTTGATTTTTAACTTTCCTGCTCTATTTCGTTAACTACCCCAATGCATTCCCATACTATATACTTTTATTGAAAACATTATGTTTAACGATTTTTTTATTTACATCAATCACCTATATATGATTCATTACTGCCTTGAAAACAAATTAAACTTCTCTAATTTTTCTCAGTAGGCTCTTCTAAACTGATCACGATTTGCTTTAAAAATATCGATTTTATTTCCACTATTCAAATTTGATGCTTTTGGTAGACAGCTCAACTCGGTCCAGCATAATTGGACTTAGTTGAGTCTTTGCTCCAGCCTTCGCTCAGTGGAAACTTAAACTTCAACGGATTCGCCATTTAAAAGTATTACTTTACTGGGAGTACGTTAGATGTGAACGCTTTTCCTTTTTCGCTTCTCTTCCATTTATTTTATTTTATTTCATTGCATGCACTGCCCATTTCGTCGTTTTTTTTTATTTTTTTTCAGTTGGTATTCAGTAATTCACCATTTATTCAGTAGATTATTTCCTGTTTTTAATTTAAAACCAACAAAATGTATCTTTAAAATTTAACAATTATTCATAGAATGACTAACATGCCTCAAAAGACTTTCCCTCAAAAGAGGGTCGAAAATAGAAGTCCAACTTTTCTTTAGAGTAAGCTCTCGCAACCATTGTTCCATGTAATATGGACAAGACAACAACAACAATCTTCCAAGCCTTGCAAGAATTTCCCTAATTTCCAAAATAATCTGGAGGCATTATCATCCTGTATCAAAATTTAGAAATTTCAGATGCTCTGGTCCATCAGATGGTCTGGTCCATTGGCCAGATTCTTTCTCTTATTTTTCTGTGTCTGTAACGCATGGTTAGCTTATCCTTTGTTGAATTTATGTTAAGCTTTTCCTCTGGTATGGTAAGCAATCGACGTCCTCGCAAAAAAATGCGCTTGTGAAAGATTACCAGATTCAGTACAGTTGTGTTATAGGTAGTTGAAATCGTATAGAAATTACCTTTGCGTCCACTTCTATATATATTTTTTCTAATTCTTGGGAGATTTTAGTCATGATTGAACGAAACATACACGTTGCTCCTAAAAGCCACCTCGCCAAGCGGCTCTTTCAATTAACAAACCTGCAAGAAATCCCTTGCTTGCCAAAATATTCTTGTACCCTTGGTATCCGATCTTATTCTATAAGTCTTTAAAATCATTCTAGACTCCTTCAAACGTTTTTGCATTGTCGGTCTAAACTATGCTGCCAGGAATACATTGAGCAACGAATGTTACAGATGCTAGCAATAAATTTTTTGCAGTCGAATTGGGAATCAATCCCAAAAGCAGATCGCGCGTAACAGTTCACATAAACAAAATGATAAGCTTTGCCATTATGCTTTGTTTATAACGTTTCTATAAAATCTGTCCATGTTATCTCAAATGGGAATGCTCTCTTCACTGTCTAGTGGCAAAGGCGTAGCATCTTGATTCATTTGTCTTGATTTAACTATCTTTTATTATTAACTTTTCTGTTACTTTGCTCTTTACTATCTTTAATTATTAAATTTGCTGAATAACATCCAAAATTATAGGGTGTTTAAGTCTATATCTGCATGTAATCTTCCACTATTGCGAAGTGCTTTTAAAAATGAATTACAGACACGTTAATTTTCTAATTTCATGTCAAAGGTTTTCCAGTTGCCAACGAGTTAATTTGATTCGAGAAAAATGATTGGTGTACGTTTTTAATCCAATAAATTTCCGATTCTTACAAATCTTCTGTTTACTCTCGTTTATAAGGTTGTTCAAATAACCTTTTGTCCAGGCTGTAATTCTTAGAACTTTATGAAGTTTTCTAAATTTCTCCAAATTGAGTAACTTATTTTTTCTTGAATTTAATATAAAACCTGCTTGAAGTGTCTTTACATTTTCCTGTCAATTTGAATTTCTTCAGAACTGCAACTTATGGATACGTTTGGCTAGTAATTTGTTTTTCTTCATCAACCATTGTTTTTCAAATCTAACAATTCTTATTCTTCAACTCTGTGATAGTTTCACCTCTAATTACGGCATCTGCTAAGTTTTTGTTCATTAAGCAGTATCTCCACGGCGCTAGTACAGATTTTTCTTGAATCTCTCTGTTTTGCACAAATTCTGGCTCTTATTAGTGTGCAGCTATGAGTTCTAATCTTGTCAAAGAGAATCTTTACAGTGAGGTCCCTCGGGAACTTAATATTACAGATTGAAATTCTACTCCTGTACCTTGCCGGAATCTAAAATATATCTAGTGCCATGAGCTTTCTCACTGGCATTTGCAAAGCAAAGTAACTGAAAATATTCTATTTGCTGTTATTGCAAATTATTGAAACAATTCGATATTTCTACATTTTGTATTTATGATAATTCTTACTTTCATTCTTCCCAAATTATACGCAATTCATGAAGTAATATTTCATAACACTGAAATCCGTATTTCCATGCTTCTTTCAATAAAAATTATTGATTTAAAAAAACCTAGAGGTGGAATTAAACATCCAAAGGTTTAGAAGCTTTCTCAGTAATATTATCACCGAACTTCGTCTTCTCTTTTGTAAGTACTGTATCTGAATATGAAGAGCCTTTTTCTGTTTTCCAAGTGTAACCTAAACCCGTGCTATTTCTACAACGAATGTGTTTTACATTCTTTTTCCAGATTTTTTGTAAAGAATTTTATTCATTCCCTCATATTAAAATCTCCTTCCATTAATGTATTTTCTCTACCTTTTCAGTTGCTTCATACATTATATCTGTACCTGCTATTAGGTCGTCCCCACACAAGAGATTGTATAAAAGGGAAACTTATTCGAGATAATAGTCCTTGTGTTTCTTTATATGAACTTTTATAGTTGTTTTCAGTAAAAATGTATTTGGCTTTGCTCCCAAGATTACTCGAGATACCCGATAAGATTTTAAGATTTTCAGAAACGCTACTCCTCGGTAAGAATTTCACTGCATTTCTGTCACTAGGCTCCGACGAAATTTGAACTTGTTGAATATCACCTGTGATTCGAATCTTACGTCGTCGAAATCTAACCAAAAGTTAAAGTATGTCTGGGTAAAGGTCAGGTTCTGCTTCTAAGCAATCAGTTTAACGACAGCTGATTTTTAGCATGTGATGACGTGTTGAAGACAACGCAAAGTTTCTTTGTTTTCTCTGATCACAGAATGATGCAGTAAAAAGTACCTTTTTCTTCAGTCTTCCAAATACTCCGATTCTTCCGCGATATCGCTTTGTAAATAACGTTATATAATAACTTTGTAACGTTCGTAGAACTTAGAATTTTTCTTAAATCTTTCTAAACCACAGCTTTGAAAATCGTTTTTCTACTGTCTAAAAACTATCTCCAAATTCCTCAGCATATTCTTTCCATGTCCAGCAAACCATATACCTGACGTCTACATATTTTTCGGATTCTCGAAGTTTTTTAAAGGCCACATTGTTTTTTAAGCTGTTATTATCGTATTTGCTCGAAAAAATACTCAATCATAAAAATCCATTTCTGCTTTGGAAAACCTAATCTCCATTTTGCAGCAAACAAATGGTTTTTAAAGACAACGTCATAAGTTGTAACTCAAATTTCTCGTGATGTATTACTTATAATATTATAGCGATGGAATCCATTGGAACAATTAATCATTAGTATCCATTCTGGAACTGCAACAATTTTTGGAAATTTGGTGAGCACGACTTCAGATGGTTACCTGCTTTATTTACCTTATTCTGTCTCAGTTTTGATTAACAGCAATATTACTGGCCTAGATACTGTTCCAAAAGTAATTCAAACAAAAATCTAAAACTTTAACCTAAAGGAAGCTTAGCTTTTCAAAGTTTTCTTTTTCGTCAGATAATTTATTTCACAATAATTTTTAGATTCAGATCTTTAGCCACATAAAATGAGACCTCAGAACCTTGTCAGGGAGAGACTAATAAAAATATATGTGCTCTAATGAACAAAAATTAATGTTTAGAATCTATTAACAGGTTAGATTTAATTATTAAGAAAAACATTTCGCAGCATTATTTTGGGTAAGTTTTTTTTAAAAAAATAGTATAGTTTATTTATGAATATATGTCATAAGATTTTGGGTCTAACGTAGATGCTTATGATGTTAGTTAGATGGTTACAAGAACGAGCAGTCAACTATGCATTATTAACATTATATAAGAATCATGTGACAGGGATTTATTTTTGGAATCATAAACTTCAAAAATCTTAAGTACAAGCATATTACTATTCTCAAAATAGAAACGGGAAATAATCAAATTAAAATGAAAACTTCTGTGGCTATTACAACTTAAAATTAGAACTTTATCTCAAATAAACAGAGTTGTTCAAAAGTAAGTGAATAGTTATGGTAAGTAATAATTTTTGCCGGAAGATTTGAATTTTTTATTAACAGGTGGTTCTTTGTTTGCGTCAGAACATCGTACAGTGGCTCAGCATAGTTCGTAACGTAGCTAAAATTTCAAATGTCCAACGTGATAATTATCATTCATTTAGAACAGTCTTCAGACGTGGACTACTCTGCGTAGCACTGAAGAAGGTCAAATAACATTTTCAATATGGCCAAAAGAGCTGAACGGCCTCTCTGCGTCTATGACTTCAAGTAGAGATGTAATTATTCTGACTATAATATTCTTCGTTATTAAAACTTTCCGTGTCTTCGTGCGTTTCTGTTAAATTCACATCGTTCTACTGTCTATACTTTCCGAATTATTGAATGTTTACCTTTTCTATAACTTTCAGATCACCTTGTACAGATTTTCATATCTTTACATGCAAACTTCTGCATTCAAAGGCTAATGAATGCCTGAAGTTTTGTTAGGGAATGATGAATGTTTCCACAGTGTACATTTCTGCAATATATATTTGTTCACAGCTATATTCTATTCGTCTTGTCTTTCAGGTTATTTGTCCACACAAATGTATTTCCGTGGCTATCAGAACATATTGCTGCAGCTACCGGAATAAGTATGTCTTATATTTATTTATTTATTTTTCTCTGCTTCTTGAGCATTTTAATAATGCATGTGTTATTTTGGGTTAACATTATTATAGTACAGCTTCAAATACTTAGATTTTTTAAGCATTAAAAAATTTAGATTGGTAGCTCAAATATCCAGACTTTGTATTAAAAAAGTTCAATTGGCATGCAATTTATACTCGTTGTCTCTGAGACCATACTATGGGGAGTACTATGGGGATTTTGCATTAATATTTCACCACAGCATTACATTTTACAGTGACAAAACTGCCCCACATGAGGCGGAATTTGATTTTAGAATTTTAAGACAAGTTTGAATTAAAATATCTTTTAACCCCACCCTTTCATTTATTATACAAATGTTATGAATGATGTTTTATATTATATTTTTGAGTTAGTGTGATCGGCACCATGAATCTCAGAGTTTTAAAAAGTATTAAAACACAGCAAAATTTTCAGATACACAACAATGGTGCCGTGACCTCGCGACTGGCAGACCACTAGAATAATTTTTGTGCATATTATTTGAGTATTATTTTATATTTGATTTCTATTTTACTTTTATGTGTATGAATATTACATTTTTTGATTATAAATGATAAAATTTTTGCGCTCACCTAGATGTTTGATCCATTTATCATTTAGTTTAAAGTTTTGGTGAGAATTGCATTTGTGTTAATGGGTTGGTTGATTTTACTTATTACATTTTGAATAATTGCTTTGGAGATTTCTAATTTTTAATTAATTGATTTTATGTCAGAGCAGTATTTTTGTGTTCTAGAAATAGTAAATTTTTTAAACTTCTTGAAGTGTGTTAATAGATTTTATGAAATTTGTGCCTAATAGAATTGAGTTAAAACTTTTATTTTTAATTTTTTTGGAGAAATCTGAAATGTTTGTTTCTTAAAGTTAATTTGTTTAGATTTGTAAAGTTTCGCGGGACCAGTGATAGTTTACTTAGGGATTCATTGAATTTTTTTGGAGAAGTTAATTTTCAGCCGGAGTGAAGTTTCTTGTTTAGCTTTTCTGAGTTTGAGTAATTAATTTTCTACCTAGTTGTGAGTTTTGTGAACATTTATTGCTGTCTGAGAAAAGTGTGAAAACTGTAGAATAGTGAGTTTTGTGTTTTACAGCAATTGTGAGTTTTGAATTTTGAAAACATTTTTTTGGAAAAGTAGAGCTGGTTTTGTTGGGAATTTTGGAAATGTAGTTAAAAGATATTATTCTTGCTCTATACTCATACTGTTTTTCAAGTGTTTTAATGGTAGTTCTATAGTGAGTTTACTAGTGAGTGGTGTAACATTTGTTTTAACGGTGATCTAAAAGTTTTTTTTTTTTTTTTTTTTTTTTTTTGACTTTGTCAATTTTTGAGCTTTAATAGTTTTATTGCTTTGGTTTTGAATTTAATTTTTTTTCTTTGGTTGAACTGGTTGCAGTGTTGTAGTAATTTTAAAAGTGGATGTGAAATAAGTTTAGGGAATTTAAACTTTGATACTAGTGGAAGTGAAATTTGTTTTGAGAAGTTAAACTTGATTTTGTGGAATGAGAAATTACTTATGTGAGTTTAGTGTTGTGGAGATTTGAGAAGAAATTTGATTTGATTTTGAGATTTTGAGAGTAATTAACTCCATTGAGTTTTGTATTGAGTTTCTGTTTTGAATTTTTTTTTCTGATTTTTGGTTGACACTGTGTGGTTACTGACAAATTGTGATTGCTCTTGAGGCTTAGTGTATTTCAAGGAGTTTTGTTTTGAAGTGGTTTAAGAAGTATAGAATTGAGTTTTGTGAGATTTATGGATTTTGAGTTTGAGAAGTTTGATTTTTTTTTTTTTTTTTTTTTTTTTTTTTCTGTGTGTGTGTGTGTGTAAACACTTCCCTCTTGTCTGCTTTTGCATTTTTGTGCCTGCAGTTTTGTAGTCTTGTTGTGAAGTTGTCATGCTTACGATTGCTACCTAGAGTGCAATGCATACTCTTCATCTTCATTACTTACTCTCCAGGAACTAGACTTTTGAGAACTATTTTGTGTCGTTCATTGTAGTTGTGCTTGATTACAGCCTTAGTTCGGTACATCACTTTTTTACTAGACGTGGATTCCGAGTGCATTTTTAACTGGGCTGGTGGTTTGTCTAGGGAATGCATTGAATTGCAAGTATTGTTCATTAAATTGCCTTACTCTCCCGACTTACATGGCTATGGTTTGATGGCTCTATGTTTCTTCATGTCAGTGAAAGGTATGGATAACAACTGTTCTTCGTTGTGACTCACTTCTTTTTGAACCATGATGCAGTTTGGTTTTCTTCTAAATTGTGGCAAACCCTTTTGTTGGACACTTTCTTGTTTACGTAGAAATTCTCTGTGTGTATAACCTGCTTCAGTTCAGTTTTTGTTGAATTTATGTTGACTAATTTCAGAATTAATTTTTTTGTTTGATCTTGAATATGCTTTATGAATTTGAATTCCATTTTTTTTTTTTTTTTTTTTTTTTTTTTTTTTTTTTTTTTTTTTTTAGTGTTACTTTTGTTTTCTTGAAAGAGTATTTAAAGTTTTTCCTCCGTATTTTTGCAACTGGTTTGGTCTAGCGGTTGTCTCCATTTGTGTGAATTTCTTTTAGTTTCGGTTTCGAGTTCTTGATACAATAGTATTTTGCGTTTAAGGATGTTTTTCGGCTGGTCCGAAATATTTCATTTCCTTGTTTCAAGTAAGTTTAAGGCCCACCAGCGGCCGAGCGGTAAAGTCGCTGAACACTGGTAGTTCGGTCCGAGGCTCGAATCCCGCGAACGGGCTGGCTGCATGGGCGTTTTCGTGGTTTTCCCCGTGTGTAACGTGTATACGAGCCAGTTTCCCTTAGAAAGTCCTCCAAGAAAGGCGTCCCTCCCATTAGGCAGATAGCTATCGAGGCTTTGCCATAATTACACAAACAAACAAAAATCAAGTAAGTTTATCTAAATTATTTTTCCCTTTTTGCTTCTAGATGCGCTCTAGATTCTTTTGGCTTAATTTTTTTTTGGTCAAGTTTTCGTTTCCGTTCCTGGGGATGTTCTCCGTTTGTTTCAACTTCTGGTTCAGTTCAGGGTTTAATTCTTTTAGGATTTTTTTTTTTTTTTTTTTTTTTTTTTGTCACTGTTGGTTGACTGGAACCTTAAAACGTATTTTTTTACTCACCAGTGATTTAATTTTTTTTTATTTGTGTGTTTTTATTAACTTGTTTTTGCAAATGGATTTTATGACACTTCACTCCTGCTGCTGTTTAATTGGTTATTAGTGTGGTAATTAAATTTTGAATTTAATTTGTTAAACTTAATGCTTTGTGTGTAAATTTTAATTTTTTTAATCACTGCTCTCCGTGACAACTAGCTTTGAATTGATTAATTGTGTCGCACTTAACTTGCTACCATTTGGAAAATGTTGTTTTGTTTTGTTTAAAAAAAAAATTTGATGCTCAAAATGTTTTTCCCCTGGTGCGTGGGGGAATGTTATGCCGTATATTTTAATTATTAATATGTGTTTTAAGTTATTATTATTCTAATATTTTTATTTGTATTCATGTGTATTTTAATCTGGAAAAAAGTATTCTTAAGCTGTTAAGGTTTTATTTAACTCGTTATTCTTGAGTAGGAATTGTAACAAGCCATCTGGTTTATGGCCTTTTTTATTAACATTGGATGCAGTAGGGTATTGTGTGTCGCCTTTTAACTAGTGGTGTTTGAAACGAAAATCGTCTTCCTGTCGCTTTGTTAAAATTGCAGTTTGGCTTACTTCAAGACAGTGGGGGGTGTACTAAGTTTAGGTAATTGGATTCTCGTAAAGCTTAGTTTCGATTGTTAGTTGGGGGGTCCATTTTTTTTCTCACGTTATGTGTACAGATGTTTTCGGACTTCATTGTCAGATTTTCTGGTGTTTAATTCGTCATGGGTGTGTCATTTTCTCAATTTAGATAACGTAAAATTCCGGGATTGGTAAGATTTAATTTTATGATTTTTTGAAAGCCTATGAACTCACAGAGGCGGAGAAACCGAGATTTCCTGGGTGCTTGCACCAGGATAGAAATGAATTCGGATTCTGATTTTTTGAAGAAGAAGGAAAAGGAGAAACAAGTGGGGGCTTGACCCTTCGGGTCTTGCTCTCGCGAGCCGCGTGAACCAGCGTGCAGCGGGTATGATTTTCTCTAGGCGTTTAGCTGGCGAGAATTTGCGTTGGCATAAGGCGTAGAGCTCAGCAGAGAATTTCGATTCTCTTGTTCCAAGAATTGTACTGCAGATTCTCTTGGTGATCCTGATATCCTGATGCTGTATTCCTGTTTTTACCGACTTTGACTTCCTAATCAGATTTTGTTCCAAAGTGCTCAACGTTTTTTCGTGCGTTTCGAGGCTTACAGAACGAAAGAGACTCGTGTAGGATCCGTCTAAGGTGTGCGATGCTGTTTATTCTGCCTGTGTCAGCTGCGTCGATTTTTCATCCTTCCGTGCTCTGGAATTTATTTATTGTAAGGACAGCTTCAGTGGTGTTTCAACCAAGACATCTTTAAAATTCGCAAGGAATGTCTATCTCCATTAACAAAGGTTTTGTGAATAAAGGACAGCAGGAATAATGTGGCGCTCGAGTAAACTTTAGACGCTGAACGATCTGTAGAGCTGTCAAATCGCCTTATTAATCAGTATACGAAGGTATTCCCGATTATTGAAAGTTCGCGGTATGGACTTCACTCCGTGAGTGATTTTTTTTTATTTATTTTACTTTAATAATTATCTTAATACTCAAGCAAGAGTCGTCATTTTAATGTTTCTTGAAATTTGAGCAATTACTTAAATTAATTAATCGATGTGGAAATTATCAGTGTTCTTAAAGTGAATTACCATTGTAGAGTTGCGCGACTCCAACCTGCACGCAACAAAGTGCTGACTGCTGAAACTGGAAAATAGACAGAGTCTTGCGAAGGGTTTAAGTCCCTTTTTATTCAACTTAAGATATTACAAGTGCGTGCTCTTGACGCTCACAAACTACGCCGACCCGGCGGTAAAATAAAAATAAGAACCTGAAAAGAAATAATAACAAGACTCTAACTACGAGGCTCTCTAAACGTAACTAACCTCACCGCGTTTTACAATACCGCTGCTAATTCAGCAAACTTTGAATATCACGTTCAACGATTAGCAATTCTCCGAGGCAAGCACACAGGCCGAAACGCGGGTTCTTCAATTTCTGGCTAACTACCTCCGCGCTCGTGAAGTAAGAACAGCACACCTCGAACTCGTTTCCATTCCATTTAACTCAGAATACTCCCGCTAATAATTTGAATCCTTGCGTTTTCTACTAAAATTTACATACTCTGGCATTGGCAGTTCCAGGGGAAAGTAAGGCTTGACAGGAAAGATAGTTTAAACTTAAAATAAATGTTAGTTAAAATAAATATAAACCCTACAGCATGATAAATACTTAAAGTTAGAAGATGAAATGGAAGAAATACTATTGTTACTCTTATGATACAGTAGAATTTGATAATGTCAATCTTAATTAATGTAAGCTGTAATTTGGTGTAGTATTATGTGTTATTTTGCTTAGAAAAATATGTGGTAGGATTACTGATCAGTTATCCATTATTTAATTATATAAAATAGTCAAGAATTTAATAAATGTGTGTTTAAAATTTAATTGCGTTTGTGTATTTATGTTATGTATAATTTACTGTGGTTTGTCATATCCCTCCATTTGTTTGAGCCGAGAGGCTTTTAAGAAACATGGAGTTTAATTGAATTTGGGGTTATTGATTTTTCCTTTTGCATAGGTTACTCACAACGCGAACTAAAAGTTAAATTGTACTACCACTATACGATTGATTGATTGATTGATAGATTTGATATACGAATGTTTATAGGAATGTTGATATGATATACCATATGCTATATGAATGTGTTTTGAATGTTTTATAATATATTTTTTAGTTAATTTGTCCGGCACCATAAGTTGAGTTTCAGTTAAGTTTAAAAAAGTATTAAAACACGCAAAATTTTCAGATTCAAGAAAAACAACCAAGAAAGCCATACTCAGGTGTATTGAATTGTGAACAAAATTTCAATCTTACAACCTTTTAATGATTTTAATTATTTCTTTTTACAGACTGTGAGGATTATATACTTAGACGTTGCGATAATTGTAAAGATGATGATAGTCAGAGTAATGAAGTAAAAATTACGAGGAAGTATAGGCCTCGACCGTGTGACAAGGAGTTCTATTTATATGAAATGCGACCAAGTGATTCCTGGGAGCCTTTGAAAGGTGTATTACCCAATTCCCTGGAAAATCTCACGAAGTAAGCCATAAACGTTTGGAAATATTTCGGAAGTGCATTTTGTTGTATTTATTTATTATACTGAGATATTTTCCAAAATATTTATATTTTTCATTGAAATAAAAACGATTCCAAGTATATTGGGTTGCATTTAACTATAATGCTATGATGAACACAGGGAAGAAAATAAAATAATGAGGTGAATAAAAAAATTATATAAAAACGAATTTAATACTAGGAAAAAAATTAGAATACGAAGGTTAACCTTATTAAAAATCTAATAAATGGAAATATTTATTTAATTTTGAAACTATAAATAGAACGGATTCTTAGTCGTAGTTTATTTCGCATTTCTTTGACAATAATATGGAACTCATGTTAAACATATTAAGGTATAACTCATATCTTAAAATTGCAATAGAATTTAAAACTAAGATTATGAAAAGTTATTTCAGGAAGAATATTTGAATTTTCTCTTAAGTTACATATTTCAATCTCTTGTTATCTCAAGCTCTGGGGTTTGTTGTACCTTCAAGATTTGCCAATGACCAAGTTTCAATAGGACAGTGTGCTACTGCACGTGACACGCAGTATTCTACAATTCTTTATTGCCTTCCAGACTGTACTGCTGCTTTGGTGTGCTCGTTCGCTCAATAAGTCCCCCTGGAACACGTTTGGTTCGATTGATCGGCAAACGAGTAGCCCAGCAATCATCACTCACATATGCTTTTGATAGAGAAATGAAAACAGCATAGACTGACATAACCCTTGCGTACATTCAGAGCCTCTTTTGCCAATACCGTTGAGTATCAGAGTGATTGCAGCCATGACGATTACACTTAAATAATGGTTTCTTTATATTTCGCAAGTCGAATGGGATTCCAATTTCAATCACTTCGCTCTGTTATTTTACTAATAGTATATATAGCTATGGTATCTCTTGTTCTTCAGTGCTGCATTTTAATAGTCAACAATATATTCTAATCAGACAACAATGTATATTCTAACCATACAATATAAGTCCTGTATAGAATATTGACTTTGTTTATGGTTTTTATGCCACAAAATCTTCTAGTATTAGAGTTTATATATAAAACATAGTGACCGAAATTTAAAATGTTCTCGGTATAAGAAAATTCACGAACTAAGCAGGTATGATTTAAAAACCCCAAATTTATTAAATAAATTTATGGAAAGGAAGCTGGATGCAAGGTTAAATCAGAATGGCAGCGATAATATTTTTTATTATTTTTTATTTTATTTCTGTTAACAAGAATTTGAGCTTTGACGTGGAATTCGTAAAGGCACAGTAATTTTCATTCGATTTTACAAAAATTTTGCAAAATTTTTTTTTTTTTTTGAATTACACGCTTTTAAGAGAAAAAATGTTTCTTTTTTGCAGAAATTACATTGTCCAAAGAGTTCCGCATACGAATTTAATTATGTTAGTAACGTACATACCAGGACTGGGAGATCTGAATCAAACCGATGATAGAACAGGCGTCAGAACTCAGTCGTTAGCTCCTGAAGAAGTTATCTACGAAGAAGAGGTAAGATGTCAAAGGATGAGAAATGGCACGATTAGAAAATTGCCAGAGTCATGCGTCCACCATCATCCAGAAGTAAGTAAAATTAATAAGTTTTACTTGCTTATTGCATTTCGTTTCTATTAGGATGAAAATCAGTAGAATAAAAATAAGAGTTAAAGGTTACAACCCGCCCTTAGATTTAGTATAATATGAATGGATAATCTACCTATTTTTCTCGCTGTGGAGCATATATACTCACAACTATGTTGCGCAGAAAGTGTGCAGCTAGTGATCCAATGACTCATCACGCTAGATATAAAAATTTGCCATGCCTCAGGCGATGAACTGAAGAAGTTACAATTCTCACTTATAAAGCAAAGTAGACGAAAATGTTCGGTTCCAACTTTTTTAATATGGAATGTTTGGATATATCATGCATACTGACGATAAAAATGAGGTAAATACATGATGGTGGTTATGTAAAATAGCCCATTCAGTACTGAAGATTTTTTTGCATATTTACTTCTATGAAATACATAATTTTCTGACATATTAAATGTATGTGAGAAATATACAGGGTGATTCTCTACCAGACCGACAAACTTGCAGGGGGTGTAGAGAGTACAGAGACGACTCGAAATCACATGGGAATGCAGGATCGCAAATACCGTAGTTGCGAGCTATGGTGCAAAGAAACAGAGAAAAAGAGCAGAAACAGCAACACATTAATGAAACAGAAAACATTTCATTGAAAGGTTGTACTACAAAAGGTGTTCAAAATTACTACCAGAAGTCTTCTGGCAGACCTGACAGCGGCGCTGTATGGAATTCCTTCTGTTCCGGAAGATTCCTGGCATGTCACGTTTCCTCCTGGCAGCAACAGATGTTCGAGCGACGAGGTCTGCAAATGAAGGAACGGGTGTCTCGTACACCAAGCTTTTCATGTGACACCAGAAGAAGAAATCCCTACATGATATGTCTGGGGATCTGGCAGGCCAATGAGCCGGGCCCCCACAACCTATCCACCGCTGTCGAAAGGTTACGTCGAGGTGTCGGCGGACGTCAGTCGTGCAATGTGGAGGATCCCCGTCATGCTAGTACCATATGGAACCGCACAACGACGACCCTACATTCCTATATGATTCCGAGTCGTCTCTGTACCCCCTACACACACTGCAAATTTGTCGGTCTGATAGCGTATCACCCTGTGTAATTTTGACACCATTCGCGCTGTCATACATAATACTGAATGTATGTGGAACATACATAATTTTGACACCATTCCCATAGACGTTTGGGTATGCAGACACCATAAAATCTTTACCGTGTAGCAGAAACATCTAATATATTCTTTGCGTCATTTTAATCTCATTTGATGACAACAAGGGAAAAAGTTAATTAGACATTAACACGTTTTGAAGGTCCATTTAAATAGAAATTTTAGCTTCGTCAGTTCAATCAAAAGTTTAGAATATTCCACTTCAACTTTAAAATAGATGAATAAAGACTTGGAGGATAACCTGTATATATATTTGAATGTATATGTATTATATATATGAGCGTGTATGTCACTTTGGGAAAGGAGACAGCTCCAGTAGGTCTAAGCACACACTATCTTTTGAAGCAAAGTTAAAAAGCTTATTGTGATTTTTCTTAATACAGCATTTCATCTAACAGTAGATTTAGACTCTTTCTGAATCGCTTTCTAGAATAAAATTAGGTTTGCAAAGAGAATCTTAAGATCAGTTTTTATCTGTTATTGTATTTGCATTTAAGATGTATTTAAACCAGAAGAATACATTCCAAAAGGATAATAAATGTATCAGAAGAAACTGATACATTTATTATATGTTTGGAATATAGTAATAGTTATTTTAGCTTCATATGACGATACTTATTTCCTAAACCAAGTAGAAGTTTTATAAACCTAAATAACAACCTTTTCTTATGATTTATGTTTTGAAGAATGCTAATTTTGTTATCTTTGGTGGCTTTTTACAGGAAGGCAGCATCGGACAGCAGTGTGGATTGGGGTCCTTGATTCGTGCTTCCATTTATTTAGTCGTGGGTGCCTTGCTCCTCCGTCTGCTATGAGAATCTTGGTGTGGCCTTCTTTGAAATCCGCAACCACGACATATCGCAAATCACCCAGAGAATGCAATTTCATGCCTCCTGGATTCGAATGCCATATCCTTGGAAGAAACAAAAAAAAAATCTATAAAACTCGCCCATTCTTTAAAAAAAAAGCGAAAAATACATAAAAAATATTCATTGGCAGGATTGTTCCATCTGGTTGCATATTTGAGACTGTGCCACAAACTATGCTTATACCAGCATCGGTGAAAACAAAACCTAAATACGAACAAGTCTCGGATTTTTAAGATTAACGTATTGCCATGTTATCTGAGCAAATCTTTCACCCCACTTTTCTTAGTCAAAATCTTTCATTCCAGTTCAAAATATTCTTTACGCCAGTCAAACTTAAAATTACGCGAACTGTTCTTTTCTGCAGAAATCATCGTGACTAATGCATATCATAGGCCACATCTATGGATATAGTTTGAAGATACTGAGAATACTTTTGTCGTTAAAACAGAGCAGCCCTCTTACTCAAATATTGAATTGCACATTGCTCATGTGTTTGGTCTGATAGTCTTTTTCAGTCTTCATCATCTGCAGTTTTAGTTTTTAAATAGTAGATGCTTCTGTTAGTGGCATGAGTATGACAATGATTTATTAGTCGCCTCTTCCAGCACTATTATTTCTCCTCTGTAACTCAGATCTCTTCTAGACAAATTCTCTGCAACAAACATCAACTGTAAGCCAATTTCTTGTTTTCGTGCTTTGAAAGTCTTATAATTATCCAAGAAACTGTCAGTTAAGGAACCTTTAATTATTACAGAGATCTTTTGTGAGCTTGTGTAGCTGCTTTGTTAATTTTTTCATGAATCCATTACGAAGCAACACATCAGCTAGATAAAGTTTTGTGACATATTTGTTAAGTTTTTGCGATAGTTTATGACGTATTAAATAATTATAAGTATTATATCATTCCATTAAAACATCAAAATATTTAGTCGCTTTAAATAAACGGTACTAACCAGTTGTTTTTGCGACTGCTATATTTTATCAAATTTATTGCAATTAGAAAGTAGATTTAGGACAAGAAACTTTAAGAAACCATATATTATGAGTCATATCATTAACAGTTAATTGTAATGATGTGATACATATCCTAAATTTTTAATATCACAGAAAAACGTCCAAAGAATAAATTGTAGCGAAGTAAGATATGGAAAAGATCAGTTGACGCACAAGTAAAGTAATTAATCCATATTTGTTAACTGCTTTAATAACAATCTGAAATCAATTTCCGAGTAGCAACCGCATGTGGATATAAAATTTAAGGAAACAAATCGTTTAGCCATTTCACGCTCACGCAATGCTGTGTTTAATTATAATTTTAAATTTTTGCTTACTAAACTCAGGGGCGTATTTAGAAATTTTTCAAAGGAAGAACAAAAATTAGATCTTAAATATTACTCTAAAAAAATACCTTCATTATGATAATTTCCCCCTAAATTATAAAAAGTGTCATTATTTTATCATCGAGCACCTCAGAATTAGAAAGTTATTATTGATATATGGTCCCTGTTGGGTTGCTAACTTTTCAACTATGCAATGTATAATTAGCAACTATGCAATATCATTTAGCAACTAAGAGAGAAAATACAGCATATACATTTTTATTTTTTTTAAAAAAAAGAAAACATAAAGTACGCATTTGTAATTAAAGGTGAAAATGCAGAATACAAGAACACATTAGCAACTACAAGTGAAAATTCAGAATAAAAGAAAACGCATTAGCAATCTGAATATTTTAAATGAAATGTGTAACAGGAGGTAAATGGCGTATCCTTATTTTAACATATATATACATTATACACTAAAACATGCAACTTCATGCATATTCTTTAATACATAGGTATATATATATATATTATGCATCAAAATGAGAAGCAGGAATTTTAATGCAAGTGTCTGAGGCATTAAATCGCAAGCCAATCATAGAATGCAAAAAAATGAGATAATTTTTAATTATTAAATAATACTTCTAAGTCACATAATTCAATTTTAAATGTTTCTTAATAAGCTCTAAAACTTAAAATATTGTACATTAACCCTTCAGATTCAAAAACTATTGATATTTAGACTGCCGTACGAAATATGACATCGCATTTAAGAATTCGAAAACTCTTTATTTTACGCCAAAATTTATTAGAAGGAAAGATTTAGAAGGGAAAAATACAGCACATTTAATAAAATATTAGAAAAATGAAAAATCAAATAAATTAAATCTAAAATTTCATAATTTATGAAAGAAAATTTAATTTGCATAGCAATAAGGGCTGATCACTCCTTACGGATGTATTACATGATAAAAACATGGTCGAAAATGAGAGGAAGATTTTCAAAAATTACTCTCAGATCCATGCATTTCTTAACTTATTCATTCTGAATTTATATATAGGATTAAACACAGTCTGTTGGCCAATTTATTTTAAATTACTCATTTTTCTAAGCGTTACCCGCTCTCTCAATTGATTTTTATTCTCACATTTTAATTGAAATACTAAAACTTTGATTCTGAGAAAATAATCAGCCTGTATATCCTCAGGTAATGAGTTAGTGATAAACAGTCAATACAATGATTATAGTAATGGCAAAAACATGATTCGATATATGACATAGTTCTCGACCAGTAAATACAGTAGCTTGTTTAATTAATATAAACTGCCCCACTTAAATGCTGAGGTTTTAATTGCTTCCTACTAAAGCTCCACAATTATGATTCTATCTACTCGCATTTTAGGAAGGATCTCAGATTTTACCTTTGGTGATATACGCAGATGTAAATTATTTTACGGTAATTACATACATTCTCAAGGTTCATTTAAAATCTACTTCTAGTTTTAATTTTGGTGACCATTGCTTATGAAAATACACATATAAAATTAAAATAGAGTTGGTACAATAGTTGACTGATTTATTTTCCGAATTTTCTAAATAATTCGTTTGATTTAAAATATTTAACTCTTCCTTTAAACCCTTTACTAAGGTATTGTAGTGAATATATAATAAGGTATTCTACAACTAGCTGAGTTGTCTCCAACCGAAGCACGATTTCGAAAACTATTATGCAAGTTTCAAGAAGTAAGTCTGTAGTATTGCGCCGAATACTGCCTGTGTGTTGGTCGACTGTCACTAAATCGATAGCATGATTATGATAGGCAAATCATGGTTTTCACTAAAAATTCTTTCTTTTTGTCACTGACTTGCAATATCGCATAACTACCATTCCATTAGCTTTAATGATTTCATGACTGCAGTTCTTCGGTAAATAAAACCTGTATGTACTTATAAACCCCTATTCAAATAGCAAGTAAAAGCGTACGACAAATTTCCAGTACCTAGAAATGATGTCGATTAATGAGTGTAAGGGTTTCGACCAGGCATTAACAAGCGTTTTTTGTGTAAAGCTGCATGGACAGTTAAATATTTCATTTCTGATATACATTTGTATTTCAGATTCTAGCCTGAATTCTCCTAAATTAAGTTGTCCGAATGTGGTTACTAGCCGATGAAGTTTACTAATATTTTGCTGATTATTTCAAGTGCAAAAATGCGCATAACTATCGAAGAATTATAGCTGTCAATGCTTTGATACTACACTACTATGCACTGTTTTGATAAAGTTTTATTTTTTAAAAGATATCATAAAGACTTTAAATTTCAATAAATAATTTAAAGTAAATCATTCCTTATTTCTCACATATTTAAAAATTTACTCAGAAACAAATCAATCAGCTATATGTTGTCCATATTGCAAAGCAGTAACGCTTAACCCAACACTACTGCTAGAGGTTTTGTATAACTGAAATATCTTTCAAGGTGTATTTTCTCTCTTAGAGTCACCTGTCCTCCTCACGTCATACTTTGCACGTCATACATCCTTATGAGATTTTTCATCCCACATTTCGAAGTAAGGCATTTATAATCTCCTGTTAAAAACCCTTTCGGTTTCCTTTTATTAAATATTTCCAGTTCTATCTTTGATTAACAGAATAGTAAGGTTCTTATAGTTTTAAATTCACCATTAACTCTAATAAAACTCTGAAAACACTATTTATAAGTTTTATTCAATTTTTTTCATCAATCCAACTTAATTTTTTTTAATTTCTAGCTCTTACGTAACTTCTCTTTTCATAATAGCACTTCTTTGCATCTAAACCATCATCAATACAATACTGTCAACCTGGGTTACTTTGCTCAAAATTGAAGACCTCCGGTTCAATAAAAAAGACTATTTTTATCGTTTATTTAATTTTTAAAAATCATATGATTACTTAAAATTCTAAAAGGCTCATTTTTAACCTAAAAATATTTTTTATTATTTGAATTTTTCTATTAGTTATTATTTTTATTATTATTTAAATTTTTAGTTATTATTTTTTATTATTATTTAAATTTTTCTATTAGTTACTATTTTTATGTAAAGTACTCTATAAGAGGAGCATATTTTATGCTGTTACAATAATCTGTACTTTAGATATTGAGTTTTGAAGGCAAAATTGCCTCTGGTTTTAAGGAAAAAGTACAACATAATTTTTAAAATAAGTTATTTTGGTCAAAGAAAACTGATCGCTTAAGACTTACAAAAATAAGGAGTTCATCAAAATGTATTTTTTATTAATGCAAAACACAAAACTTTGCCATTTATTATTTAAAGTAGTCAATAAAAAATAAAAATAGCTTCTATCATTAAATTATCAAGAACTTTTAATCTATTTAAAGTTTCGTTCATTTATGAAGTGTATGAAAACATTTCTCATTATGGTGTCTCTCTTAGTATCAAAATACACTTAACGGAGAATACAACTGTAAAGTTTAAAGAAAATCAAAGATGTAGTTTCAAAAACATGTCTGGGAAACAGTGTTTATAGGCTTATTTAATTTTTATTATCTTCACGGGGACTGAAGTTTTGTCAAGAGAACTATTAGAGTCTTTATAAGGAAAACTCATCATGACATCTTCACCTAATTCGGATCGTAATTCTTCTTTCCTGATCTTCATTGTTTACTTGCTTTTCTGTGTTTATGGATTACTAAGATTATATCTGGAAGAGGGATATTTTCTCTATTATTATCTTAAATCTTTAACTGAGGTATTCTTCGTAAACTTTACCAAATTTTCCTCAATAAAAAAATTTTAAAAACTGAACATTAGTAAAATTTTAGGTGCAAAATTTCTTGCAATTAATTATTGCATGTGATATTTTAAATACCTATATAGTAGAAGTTACAATGCAATATTTATTTAAGTTCTTTTCCCTAGCTGCATCAAAAAAGTTTTCAGATCTTAAACTTTCGATAGTCAGGGTCTTCTCAAAACAAGGAAGGAAAATAGTGTCAGAGATACTATATTGCGTCAAAGCTATGTTTATCTTTTTGTTACTTACTTCATTTAATAACCTTCTTCACTAATTAGTAATTTTACCTTATTTGGAAAAATTTAAAACAGTACAACAGCTTTGACTAATATTTGTACTCCAAAACCTGTGACAATGCGAGAAAACCACGGTTGACAGTAGTTTAAAGGCTTCATTCAGACGAAGGTTTTGTCATCATAAGATTTCATGGTTTAAAGCATAAAAGTCACTATGTCCATTCACACCTGTTTAGCAGGGTTTAAGCCGTAGTTAGTCAAGGATGGGAAAGATGTGCATGCGTAAATGTGTAGCTGACAAAATGAAACTGTCGACAAATATTTGTTTCGCTGTGATTCGTCGGTTGTTATACCAAGTTGGCTTAAAGTTGAAAAGTTAAAACTCTCAGAAAAATTCTTAAACCAGTTTTTGTGACGTATCAAGGTCTGGATTAGCAACGATACTTGGCTTAGACCTCTTATGAATTTTAAACCATCGTGTGAAGGAAGCTAAAGTTCAGACAAGGTAGTGAGTTTAAATATTTAAATGTTGGCAACCCTAATATTTAGAAGCGAAAATGATCAGATACAAAGTTTGCTCAAAAAACGATAACTTAATATACTTTTTATCCATTCTTATAATACTGCATGGCTATTGTACGCACTAAAATATTTAAGTGTTAAATAATGAGCTTAAGTTAGAGTCCACAACTACTAAAAAAATGCAAGGTTTGATGAACGATAGAAGAAACCGAATTTTTTTCCCAGTTCTTAGCTGTTGATCTAAGAACTAAGAGTACCTGAAGGTAGTGTTAAAAGGTGACAAACTTTTATTATTTCACAGAAAAAAAAGTGTAATGCGAAATATACATTCTCATTGCCAATTTCTTAAATGACTTAATCCTTCCGCTAGTGGCCAAACCACTTCTCAAATAAGCGATGTGAAAGCATATACAATTTTCATACTACCTCGATCAACGTAAGAATTTCCGCCCCAAGTGTTTCATTGTTACCATTACCAGTAACATCTGTATTAGTTTAACTATGTTTTAGTAATGAATAACGTGTGTAAGATATGTAACAACTACGAGTATTAATTTGATTTAAAATGTTAATACATTTGATGCACATTTTTTGTAAACACTTTAGAATGAAACTTATTATAGTATTTAATTTATAGAAGAGTTTCTTCCCCTTTGAATCGAAACATTTGCGATCGTGAGAATACTCAAAGTAAGATGCTATATTTTAGGAAATTGTAGCAGACAAATAACAGAGTTTCGTGGAAATGGAACCAGTAAACAGCCCTCTAGAAAGTGACATTTTCACTCATCATTTCGATATTTTTTGCTTAATTTCTGTTTGCAAAGAAACATAGAATTCGAATACTGTTTTGATATTTTTCGCTCAAAATTCGTTTCTTAATTAGTTTATATAACTTCTAAATGAAGTTAAACATGTGAGCAGGAAATCATGCCACAAAACAGTTGGTGTGGAGCTGTTGTAGAGTTCTATTTGGACAGTAATGGATTCTAGAAGTGCATTGCACGTAATGTACGGTTAGCTCTCTAAATTCGCCCCTGTTAAAATCTATGTAATTCGAAATACGATATCGTGGAGTTATGTGATTATACGTTAAACCTAATTTCCAGCTCTTTTTCCTTTCTTCTTCCCTTAGTATTTCAGTGTCATCAGCTGCATTGTCCAGGACTTGAAAATTACAAAGCTATCAAATTATTCAAACTTTTAAAATCCGTTACTAGAAAAAATGGTGATTCAGATTTTGTGATATTTTTCTAGCCAACTTGCTTAATGTTATATACTAGTTCGCTAGAATTCGTTTCAAAGAACCATATTACTTAAACTGCTCTCTTTAACGATTTCCAAATATCCAAACTGTTTCCTTGAAATTGAGTAATTAATAAAAACACTTGCAAAAATTGGTATTTCAATTTAATGTTGAAATTTCTTATGTCAGAGTTAAATGGAAAAACTAATTCTAAAAGGCAGGGAATTTTCAGGTCCTCGTTTTCAGTTACATAGCACTTATTTTCTGGGTCAATTCTAACATGTAGCTGAAATTTTATGAAGAAAAACGGTATAAATTAGTTGCCAAAAATTCTCCTTCAACTTATTCCATTGATCTTTGAGATGAATGCTACGCATCAGGAAAATCAATAATATGTCAATATAATACCTGACTGTTGAAAATTGTGTAAATGTGAAATACGTTTTACATCTCTTCGCACTTTTCCGGTGCTTAAATCATATCCCTCTTATGTTATGTTACTTCTGTTTCTGCCGCAGTGCTTTAGGTCCTACTAATTGTGTGACGCTATGTTAATGTTCTTCGTCGTAATATATCATATCTTGAACACGATGTTTAGTGTTTTAAAATTGTTTTCTAAGATATTTTCCCCGAAAACTGTTATTTTGTGACATAAAAAATTGTTTTTTTATGCCTTTTGTATGTTTCGGCATAGCATCTCCAGTCTTTTTCAAAATATATAACTAAAATAAAGAAAAATGTTTTCAAGTTTTTTTTCATTTGTGTTTCTTGTATGCCATATTTGCACATACAGATACAGAAAAACGATATATTCGTGTTAAAAAATTAATATACAAGATAGGTATAGCATCACGTACATAAGGTTCAACCAGTAATAATAAAGCGATGTATAACAAACTTTTTAACGATAATGTATTTTTAACTTTACATGACAATACCACCAATATCGTTACTATATTTATACGACATTGTATAACAATACCTCATTTTGTGAGACATACATTTTTACTGAACTAATTAATCTTAACGTATGTGCGAGAGTATATATATATATATATATAATTATAATTGATAAGAAAAGCAGAAATAACTAATATTAAAGACAATACTTTTCTTTCATTCAGAGTGTTTTTTAACGCTTTTCTCAATCAAAGCAATGTTTTTTAATATTTCCTCGTGTAAAGCACCATTTTACATTCTAAAATGCAAACCTAAGTGATCTCAATACAATCACTTCAGATCAGCAGACAATCAATATAAATTAAGTATACATAAACTTTTTGTCTTTTATAAGTCACGGAAACTCAGTAGAGACTCTATTGACACGTTTAAACACGTTTTTAAATAATTTACTGCACTGTACTTAAAATTTTAAATAAAAAAATACTTTCATCCTAAGACCTCTATAAGTTGGGTTTTGCTCTCAACATTTTTATTTTGAAAATAAAAAGTTATTTCTTAAAGTGTTGCTTTACTTCACCCCTCTTTCAACGTTTTCCCCAGTACATGTATTTGTTTACTTCTACAGTTAGAAACTGCTCTTTTAGCAGTCCAAAAGTACAACAATCCATTCAAAATATCAGAGCATTTTGAAGAAATGTAAAAGAAAGATGCAGATTTAAAGCTCTCTTTCTTTTCTTTTCAAGAAATTTAGAAAAAATTGGGGTTTTATCATGATGCAATTGTTCACTTTGACAGTTCTTTTGACAGTTCTAATGTTAAAGAGACATAATTTCTTCTTTAAAAAATGTCTAAAGCATTATATCAATAAAAGCAGCTTATTTTCAACAATTAGATGTCAACAATTGCAGCTCGTATTTCAACAATTGCTCGTATTTCAACAATTGCAGCTCGTATTCTTCCTCAAGCATAAAACACCAGAACTATACTTTTAATGCTTCAGTCAAATAAATTATCTGCAACAAAAATTCAAAGACTTTTTTCTTATTTCGCCATTCAAATTTTACATCCACCTTAACATCCAGTCCTTTGCAATATATTTCTAAAACAGTATATGATATATTTTCCAACTAGAATCTACAGACTGAGATATGCTTCAATTATACCAGCATTCTAGGTACAATATCAAAAATTCACTATGAAATTTCATTAAATAACCAAATTTAGTAATCAATAGTAGCAAGAAAATTTATGTTAAAGAGATTCAAAATTGTTAGCAAAGCTATAAAAGTAAAACTTCATTATCTACAAAATATAGCAACAACTACATCATTTGAAAACTGATAAAAAAGCAATTAGAAAAAGAACTTTACAACCAGATTTTAAATAGATATTTATTTTTTCCATAGATCTATTCCAGAATAATTAGAGATTTTTATCCAAATATCTTAAGTGCGTATTTTTATATAATTAAAAGCTCCGGATGATGAGTTTATTTTTTATCATGAGACCCTAAAGTTTTGATTATGCTGAATATCTGAGCGTTTCTATAATATTACTATCACATCATTTCTATTCCAGTTTTATCAATGAAATATTAATAGAACGAATTTTACCAGAGCTATAATGTAATCTAAAAATAACGTGGAAACAGTTTTTGAAAAATTAGACCTTTTAATGTTATTTATGAAAATGTAACTAATTAAATGTCACAGTAAAGATCTTAATTTACTTCCATTCTTCCATTAACATAATGCTTGCATTTTACTGTATGAAGGTTTGAAACTTTTCTGTTCAAATGTAAACTACCCCCCCTTTCCGCTTAAGTTCATTTATTTTTTGCTTTTCTGTCACTGGAGTTTACATTCTCGAATGATATAAATAGGAAGGTAATTTTTTATTTAGCCAAAAATTTACGTTGGTGTGCTTGGTGTGCATCATGAAATGTTATGCCTCCCAAAACTGTAATATTTATCCTCCAGCTTTACAAATTTTCACAGAACAGTTTTATCAAGTTTGGGATTACTATTTCATCATCCAATTTATCCATGAATATAAAAATTGCTTTATGTTTCGTTGATAGTTTACTTAAAAAAAAAAGAAAAGAAAAAAAAGAAAACTTACTAATTGTTCAAACTGAACTTTAATAAAAACATATTTTTTACTTCCTTGTACGAAGTAAAGAAAGTACTGTGAAAGCGAAAAGGTATCATCTCACAGCGAAAATATTCCATTTTGACCGTTCCCGAATCTATTTGAACATTTTTTGTGTGCGACTTTTGTACGTACAGGCAAAATAAAGGACTCCGAAACAAATTATGAAATGGATTTAAAATGCTTTCAAAACGGAATTTTTAGTGACTTCTGTTCGTACGTAAGCATATATGTATGTATCCATGCATCTCGCATAACTCAAAAACGATTAAGTGTTGAACGTTGAAATTTTGTTTATGGGACTGCTATAATATCTGGTTGTGTACCTGATTTTTTATTGTAATCAGTAGTATAAAATGTATATATATATATATATATATTTGTAATAATAAAATTCCATAGTCAAGAATACACTTAAAATTCTAACTGTATGTTCTTTCCATTCTTAATGGCGACGTTCTCTTATTTGAAAGTACGTGGAATTAAATCCACAGCCCCGTAGTCAAGTTGTTTTTCCCGCCTTTTCTACACGTACAGTTATAGAGTGTTCTGGAAATATTTAAAGCGAACTGGGATGGCTGACGAGGCTGACGTCATTTCTTGGAAGCTCCGCCTTTCCAGAGGCTATAAAAGGACTCGCAAAAGGATATCAGGGGCTTTTCTTAAATGTCACGATGCAGTAAACTTCATACAAAAAGTTACTAGTAATTCTTTTTTATTTACTCCGGATATCTGATTTTGTAACTGCTATTTTCTCCTGAAATATAATAAATGGATCCTGTTTTTTAAAACTTATCGTCTGATAATTTAAGCTACAAACTACACCTATGATTCTTCATCGATCTTTTTATTCCGGACAAAAGCTGGTACATCACACATATATATATATATACAAAACTACTCCCTTACCCGGCTTAAAAAAGTACTTACCCGGCCTTTATTTTCGTAATCGTTGGTTGTAATCATAAACTTCTAATTATAGAAGTGCTTTGAATAGCATAAATATTCGTGTTTTGGTAATTTTAAATTTAAAAAAATAATTTTCAGCAAATAATGAAATCTAACTCCACACATAATAAGGGTTTATATATGTAGTTAGTCTAACAATAAATACCTAACAATATTTAATATCGGTTTGCTATTGTAAATCTTACAATTTTTAATATCAGTTTATTGTTGTAGCGAAAAACGAATATAATTTAATAGGCCGCACAAGGAAGTTATGTGGTGTACACATCAGATTTTTTTTTACTCGTAAAACTAGTTACCAAGGTAAAGTACTCAGTTATGTAGTATTAGACAGAGAAATTCATTTACTAAAGACAGATGTACCAATATAATTTAAAAATAAGGAGCACATCGTTTAATTCAGCTTAGGATCCACGCACACATCTTAAAGGCGCTTTCACCTGTAGGGCAAAAACATGTGACTACGCAACAGAGCCATAAGATTTCCCTACATTATGAATACTATTGATTCACGTCAGTTATAGAGCCTGTATCTGCCTTAGAACTTACATTATGCAAGCACAACAAGTTCATGACGTAACTGATATGGCAAAATCTTGTGCACAGATAATATTTTAGGATTCTATGGAATTATAAACAAAATTACATCTTTTGCAAATACTTCCAAATAAGTAATCATGTACTTGAAGAAATCATCAGTATTTTATGTTACTTTATTTTATTTGGTATTAATTTTATCTCACCGTAAAATATGTCTAATATTTTCATTGAAAATAAATAGTTACACTTTCGATACAGTACACGGTGCGTAAGTGATGTACTACCTTTGGGAACAAGCACTATATCAGTTAACGGTCAAGTAAAAAAATATCGGCTTTTTTCCATTACATGGAAGAATTATGATGAAAAACTATTCAAATCTTGTAAAAAAAAAAGGACAAAAATACTCTTATTTAGCTATTTTATTTCATATACAGTGAAACCTCTCTAAGGCGATTACTCACCATCCTGGACAATTTTGATTTTCTGCGGAGAAAGTTAAAGAACATGACTACCAACGATGCTCATACCGGATCGCCATGAAATAAGTATTTCATATCAGTTTCTTTATTATCGCTATAATACATAAACTATACATAGCGCAGAAATAAAGGCTTAATTAATAATTCTTTTCTTTATAATATTTTAAACATAAATTAAAGAAAATATTCGATGAATTTTGGGCTGTTTTCGCTTGTTTGAAAACTTAACTAGCATCATATTTGAAACTTGTTTGCAAACTAGCATTTTAACATGATGATTTTCGTAGATATCCTTTCTTGAGACGCTTTTATCAATTTTAAATTAAAATTATTAATTTTTTATGGAAAATAATCTTATCAAATTTTAGTCATTGGTGAATGAAATATTAGAGATATTTCTTTTTTTCCAAAAAGCTCTACATATTTATTTTATAAGTCAACTAGCTTAACTATGTACATATTTACACATGAGAGGTAACAAAAAGCTTATTTTAAATAATAAAATTACTCTGATTGAAATGCATATCTAACCAAGTAGGTTCGTCACGCTGCCCAACAGGTATGTATAGTGTCGGTGCGGCATGACGGCACTCTAAATATGCGGCGAGCCGAAAGTCCTCTCGTGCGGTTTGTGGAAGGCGAGAGGGGTGAGAGACCCTCGGACCCGTCCTTCCCCCGAAGTGCTCTCCATCAAAATTGGGGGCGGAACTGAGCGAAATCGTACTGCCACCTGTAAGGGGCTCAAGGCTGTTACCAACGACAGGCGTAATCTTGCTCTCCTTGCTACGAAGAATTTCGTGGGCTTGGGGTGACTTCGTCAGACATGTGAGCACAAGTAGCAACAACAACAGATTCAGCACATGCAGGCCATGCTTAACACAAGTTCTCAAAGTGAAACCGTATTTTGTGAAGTTCAAAATGAAAGCCAATTCTTACATATGCATAGCTGCAAAAATATTTGTACCACTTTACAAAAAAATTGGTATTTGGACATGATTTGAGAATAGACTCGAATCTCTATGAAGAAATTTTCTGCACCTTATGTCAGAAAATTTCAGATTTGTGGCCTTAAAGTTAACGCATTGCAATATTTAAATCGCACATATCCGAAAGCATTCCTTAAAGACGTTAAAAATGAAAGTAAAGCTTTTTCAATCTGTGGACATAAACGAGAGATTTATATAACTGCCACATTAGCTTTTTCGTAGTATACTGACATCTGATCCTATCACTTTTATTACATAGAATATAATACATCATTTCAAAACCTTTACTTAGTCTAATAGAATGTAGATTTCTTATTCCTCCTTATCTCTCTCTTGTGTGGCCTATCATGTGGTGATCTTAGTCATTAATATTATTAAGAAATTTGCGCTCTAATAAAGCGCCCAAATGATTCGCAATATTTCTGAACTTCATCTAGCCAGCGTAAAATATGTTACTTGCCTCTAGAAGATAGCATTTTCAGCCTGTAAGCTTTATGGTCGGGTATATTTTGAAGTCTCCTACTTCTTATGCTTTCCAAGCCTTGTTATGCGTTATCTTATGCCAATAATTTTGTAACACTTTGTATGCTATAGAGTGTTGAATTTAAATTTATTTTTAACTTCAACTAATAGTTGATTTTGCCATTTTTTAATTTATCTTGCATTAGGCGCAAAGTGACAATGAATTTCGGTATTCCTGTCTTTCTGGAAATATGTGCGGGATAGTTATTTAACTAATAAAGCAACATTTTGGGTTAGATTACTTCAAATTATATTTCATTTACCAAATCATTTATTTTAACTCGCTGTGAAGGTTAATTTATCAGAAGGAAAGCTGTTTGATTGTTTTAAATGTGGCTCATCTTAAAGATGACACATATTTTCAATGAATATCCTTTTCTCGCATATTTCAGTTTGCTTTTCACTTGCATTCTTATTTCTGTTGCATTCCAGTGTTTGCAATGATATGTGTTAGATTCCTATTAGTTTTTTTTCTTTAATTACACTAGAGGAAATTATATAAAAAATAATGGTGTAATTTACTTTCTTTCTTTCTCTCTTATTCTCTCTATTATCCGTCTGATTACTTCCCTCTTATTTCAGAATTTTTCTTTTGCTCAGAGTGAGGGACAATACATATTGAATGCTGGCATTTTCTGCTTTTAGATATACATTAATAATAGACATCGTTGTTAATATTTTATGAGTGTTTTTCAAAGGAATATTAATTTTAATTCCATTTTCAAGCTTTATCTCGTTAATTATCGTTTAAGGAATTAAAGGCATTCCTCCCAAGTGTGGTGTAGTAATAACACATCTTACAGTAATCGGATTTGATTTTCGGTTAGAGGCATTTCGGTTAGAGTCTTTCGATTTGATTTTCGGTTAGAGTCTGTTAGAGTAAAGTGAAAATAAATTTCAGTTAAACGCAAGCTCATATATAATAATCTTTTAAAGAAGAAGTAGATACTTGCAAGCATAGTCAGAAGACCAATTCTTTTATTTCTAGACAAAATATTGGTTTCATTGTAGGTGAACATTCTTAATGCATCATTCACAAATTGGCGTCCATTCTTGAAAGAGTTTCACACCTTTAAAGAAGTTTTGGTAAAAGAGAAGCAGGGACAGCTATCTAGCTGAGAAAGAAGTCTAGAGCAAATATGATGTATCTAAGATGAAAGCCCGATTCAGAATAACATGCTTTTGGTTTAATATTCCTCCCAAGCTTTGAATGGTTAATTTTATGTTTATGAAACTATCATTAGCTATAAATTTATGTAAGTATCTGCGTCATAAACATTATGCAAGAATCGTATGCTTGAAATAATGCAATTTAGGAAGATTTTTTATCAGCAGATACTTTTTTAGGGCAGAAAGAGAAAATAGCCAAATTAAAATGGACAATTAGGGGGGATGTTATAAAATATAGTTAGAGTTTTGATTTGGATATTTTTTATCTTATATATTCTCGTTTTTCATTTACAGACTGTTTTAGCATTGAACTCTTGTCAAGCATTATTGAGATTTCTTAGAACATTATTAGTAGTATATATATGTGTATCTATATATAATCAGACAGAGAGAATATTTAGTTTAATTATTAATCTACTCTAAATTAATTAACTATCTAATATGAAAAAAGCAAATATTATGAAACGTTAACTTGGAAATTAATTATGAAACAAAATAAAAATTATAAAATAAAGAAAGTAATTTAATATCGTTAAATAATTTTTTGGCTTTTTTAAGGAGTAACCAAGAGAATTATCAACTGCATATGTCATACGTGTATCTTTTTTTAAGCACCGATCAGTAGTCGAATGCATAAAGGTAATGAATGAATAAAGGAATGAATCCTGGCAGTTCATCCCAAGGTTCAGTTCGCGACTAAGGGGGTGCCTGCGTGGTGTTTCGGAGATTATCCCCCTGTAACGTGAATATGACAGATTTCCCTTAGATAATCCTCTACGAATACTTCCCCTTCTTCATTCACGTGCTTTTCCATACTCAATTGATCTCGTGCTTTTAAATAAAACATACTGATACTTTAGTATGATCTTCCTTTAACTTTTACTCTCAGACTCTTTTTTAAGCTTTTGTTCTCATTAAAACACGATTGTACGGAATTATTTCTAAAACATACGAATTACAAAGTGAAAGAATTGTTAAAAATAGCTATTGATTTAAGGAAAAGGTTTTATTACTTAATTATATTTCAAAAGTTATTAGAACTCTATGTTTTATTTGTGGTTATTATTATTGGTCAAGATCAGGACGTTTGAACTGTAGCTATTTGCACTAGGTAAAATAAAGGCAAGTTCCAACTTCATGATATTATTCATTCATTTTTATTTGCCTATTAGAAACGATGTTAAAAAACATAACTTTTATTCTTAGAACAAAATTTCATTTCATTAAAACAAAAACCGGATCTTAACTCGCCTTCGTTTTACAAATTCCCTCTTCAAAGTAAAGTTTGTAAAATTTATTAATCTTTACCTTGATGCATTATTCATCGTTGCTCTTTGTTGGAAACCTGTTTAAAACCGACCTAGTAAAAGTTTTAATTAAAATATAAGTTAACTAATCTATCATCAGTATGCAAACTAATAACAATTTTTATTTATTTTGATGCAGAATTTGATGTTTTTGAAAGAATAGTGTTTTACTGGTGTAACAAAATTTGAGATAATTCCATATTAGAGAATTTTTTCCAATACACACGAAGACATAAAATCGGTGCCTTACTACGCTACGCATTCAAAGAATTCTCACAGAATAAAATTTCGTAAGGAATTCCGTATCGAAGAAGCACTGCGTCTCACTTTACAAGTCTTCTTACATAAACTCCTGAAGCAGAGTCACATTCTTTCGTACACTATGCTCGAGCAGAGAGCATATAAACAAACAAAAACTTACTCTAAGAAAATTCCATCTCTCCTGATATTGGTACGAGTCACAGGACATCCGAAAAACCGGGCCAATCACCTGCTGAGGTAGATCTTCAGAGCCTCAGGGCCAATCCCGAAGTTTTTCTTCCTACCGAGGAATGATTAGCTTCGGAACAAGAAGCAAAACCTGAAGCAGAAGCAGTTGCACGCATCTCCACAGAAGTGGTTGCATTTCATTGTGCTGCTCGCTCTCATATGGATGCTCATACTTAACTGCATGAAAGGTTGGCCGCAGGATATCTGATGCAGCACGTGCTTCTTCTCTAGGCGGAAATGATTTCAACGGCGAATGTTTTATAATACAACTAGAGTTATCAAAGGTACGCTTTTCTCTTTGAATTTAATTTTCAAAATTATATTATCTTATCAATATATTATATATTAGTTATTACATTCAGATAAGTGATTACAGCTTTTCAAATACAGTATCTTATCGACATAGATTAGCAATGAAATTCTGATAAGTGACCTATAGTATTCCAGGTGTTGTAGCTTATTGATATATTTTTAGTGATGAAACTCTAATGACTGATCGCAATGTTTCGGGCATAGTATATTTCAAAGGCTGGGTATGCATAACAAATTAAATTATATAAACTTATCAGTTTACCTAGTTTTATTTTTTAATAATGAAGTTGAAAATAAAACTTGCTTTTTATTTACTCATTCCGTATATTTAAATTTCTTGCGATAATTTTAAACTATTAATGCAGAGTAAATTTTATATCACTATTTATTATTAACATTTTTGTACAGAACCCATTATTTCTAAACCAGCGTTATAACTAAGTATGTTTTTCCAAACAAATATTATCACGAGAAAAGTTGAAGAGAAATTTCTTTTACAATTCTTGACATTCATTATCCTTAGTTATTTCATTGCGACTACAAATTCACTTTCTAAAGTTCTTTTATTACTTTATTTTGCTTTTTTAAGCACCTCTATTCAGCGAAATTATAACAAAGACCAGTAAAAAATTAAATCTACTTAAACTAAAATTTACATAAAAGAAAAATTATTACCTTTAATATATATGTCCTCTCTCTCCAGCTTTTGGGTTTTACATCACCAGTTTTGAAATATGTTTTTTTACCAAGAATATATCTCCTAGGTCATTTCGTCTCCCGTTTTAGTTTTACGCACATCTGCATAAGAGTGCACTTTCAATGAAAGCTAAAATTTAAGCAACATTATGTTTAGAAATTCGTTTCTTATTAATCCTAATAAAAGATCAATAAAAATTATTACAATCAATATTAATTTATTTTAGAACTTTTTAACTATTTAACTTTAAATCAAATTTAATTACATAATTATAATAAAATTTTTAATGTAAGCACGATCTTCCACTCTCAAACTTAAATGTGTAGTAAATTCAGCGTGTTTCGTAACACAGAAACATTTAAATTCAGTATACGGCATAGGGGTATGATGAGGTCACCTATATCATGAAATAAAATGAAAACGTCGAAGTATATTTTGCCTTTTTATGCATTTCTAAAGTCAAAAGGAAAACCTGTAGTATATCGATACATCGAAAATATTGCTTCAAAAACACCCGATAAGAAATTAGTAAAATATCTTCACTGAGAGTATTATGTATTCCCATACCTTTAATCTTTTATATGCAACACTGAACATATTTCGCCTTAAAATGAAATTAGATTATTTTACTCATTGGTGAATTTATAAACTTTAAAAAAATTGTAGCAAATACTTATTACCCAACCATGGCAGTTAAAGATTTAAATTGGTTCCAATATTCAAAATATATATTTGTTACAGAACGTTTACACCAAAATTCATTCGCATATTTCCCGACAAGAGCTCTGGATAATTCTACTTCAAATGACAAATAATATCCACTCGAATGTTTTCTAATATTTGGGATCTGACAAGGGGTCATTACGAAATCTAAAGTTTTAAATGCACTTAGGACTGAAACAGATAACGCAGGAATTCAATAGTAAATTTTCTTCCTGTCAAAAATGTCCACATTATACTACTTTTGACGTAGAGCCTCTTCAACGTATTTAGAATTTTCTTTCACATGAATGCTTAATTTTATTTCCCTTAATATGCTAAAGACACACTTTTATACTCTTTAAGCTGTAGCAATTTCGTTCGATATTATTCAAAAGGGTAAAATAAGCAGCCAAGAATTTTTTAATGTATTGAATGGCCAAAACATAATGATATATTTTTTACTGTTAGTTAATTCGGTCATATATGAAAAACATGTATATTTAAAACATTGGTGATAGACGAATGAAGAAAGGTGAAATAACTTTATGAAAGCTATGTTGTAAACCCTGGTAAAAGAGAGAATCGAATTTAGTCTTTTTGTTCTGTTAATTCTTTATAAGCATGATTATTGTCGTGATTTTTCGGTATTTAGTAAAAAACGATTCAGGAATTTCATTTTTACAATTAGATTTTATAACCAAACTTAGCAGTACTAACAGGGAATTTACTTCTATATACTAGACATTCATAATCTTTTCCGATGCACCATAAGTAAATATTTATTAATAACGATTATTATCATAAAAACTTAAGCGTATAAGATAATTCAGCTTTAAGATTATCAAACAGATATAAAAAATTTATCAACTCTCTGTTTTGCACGATTGTGAACCTGAAAATGAGAAATGAGACCTGAATAGCGACTTGCTTTATTTTAAATATTCAGTTAAGGAGAAGTAAACACTGTCATATATGCAAGTGAAAGAAACTTTAGTTATATTTCCTCAATGGAGTGTTTATGCAATAAACATTTACTTACTGCGAAAACAAATTTCTGAATTTACTCTTCCAAGCAAAGGATTATTTTCAAAGGATCATTTATACCTGAGCTGTATCTGAACAAAAACTCATAATCATGGTGACGGATTTTAACATCCGAAACAAATCTCAAAAATCGTGCGGCTATACAGATAGCTCGTTCACCGGTATTTGAAACTTATTAAACTACCAGTATTCAGTGGTTTTTTTCACTGGGCCACTGCAAAGAGAGAGGGATAAGGTAGCTAATATAACATTTAAGATAGTTAATATGAAATACAAATAAAAGACGTAAATCCATAGCACTACTATTCAGTTAAAACAAGTTTACTTTTAAAAGTTTCACTTCTTTGTAATAACACTTTCTTTCGATTTACAAGACATTACTGTTAGTAAACGCTAATCTGAAATAAAGTGAAAGAGAATCCAAAATAAAGAACTCCACTCTGATAATTTTCCCGTTTTCAAGATTACTGTTATTATTTTTTAATCACTATTTATATACTCGCCTTTAAATTTCAGACCTATTAAACTATTTAACAAAATTTCTGATACGTTATATACATAATCCAAATCAATAATGAAATTTCGCAAATTATTCTTGAAATTAATATTTTGTGTACCTGTGAGGACAAGCACACACATTTTAGAACTCATCTTAAAGGAATCAAATGTGGTTCGATATTACATAAAATAAATGTTTACGAATGTTAATGACATCTTCACTCATTTTACTTGAAACTCAATGTTATTTGCTACTCATTTAAATTTACAAGATTTACACAAAATATCGATCAGTCGGATAATGTCCCCATCTTGTTTCTTCAGGTTTTGTCTAAGGAATATTATTACTATTTTTATCTGTGACTGAATTTTACTGAGTTCATGCTTAAATTAGAAAGATATTCCTTTCTGCGAACCTTAAGATTCTACTTTATTCAACTACTCCTGTAAAAAAGGAAACGAAGATAAACTTTTGAACAAACTAATCGTATTAGTGTCATCTGAATATTACAGTGCGTATTACTTATCTGCAATTTTATGGTTATTAGGCATCCGGAAGTCAATAAAGAATTCTGAAGCATGTATGACCATTATAGTGTCATAGTGTATTTATTACCTTAAGCTGAACACCTTTTTCTCCATTGGCACCGTACACTTAGCCGACTCAGGCTCGGCCACTACTAAGTCGGGAAGTGGCGGTCACTTTATTGTGGGAGCACCTAATAGATTGGTCACTGTTATCTCCTATGAAGGAATGGACAATTACAGCCATGCCTTCTCCTGAATCTGAACCCGGGCCCTCGCAGCAGGCTCTCCTAATCACTATACTGTCTAGGTGGCAAGCTGAAAACTATATATGAAAAAATTGTAATTAAAATTAAAAATTTTTTTAATAAAGTAAATCTCAAAGCATTTTTAAAACTTCTTTTAACCCTGCCATTCTTCATATGAATCAGTGTTCACATAGTACTGAAGGCATTATTAATTTACACTGAAAATACGTAAAACCAAAAGCAGAAGTCTTGTTGAATATCATTAATTTAATCATAATTAGCTAAGTTTAATTTTCCTATCCATTCTCTTAAGATAGATTATATTATATATAATCGGAAAGCACGTGAAGACTATCTGTCTTGAAAGAAAGGCCTTCGGGAAGGACTTTTTAACGAAAATCAAGTTGTACTTTGCATTAGACATGGGAAAACTACATTCAACCATCACCAATTAAACACTGAATCACGTAGCAGTGTTCAGTAATCCTGTTCATTCTATTCTGTGGACTCATAAGAAATAACAAAAGCGGATTATGCATTTTTTTAAATATAAAATAATACGTTCATGATTTCAATATATTTTCATCATGAATTTTAATCTTAAATGAATGGTATTGCTCTTTAAATTCCTTCATTAAGCTGCACCATTCGGCTTTGTGAACCCATACGAAATAACAAAAGCAGACTATGCATTTTTTTAAAACTATAAACTCGTAATACTTTCATGATTTCAATATATTTTCGCTATGAATTTCAAACTTAAATGAATGATATTGCTCTTTAAATTCTTTCTGCGCATTTGATCTAACCAGTTTAGTTTTATGTGTATCATTATATTCTCTCATAATGTAACTTATTAACAATTCAAGTAATTTATATTTCTATTCAAGCTTAATCATTAACGACTTTCTTTGTCAGTTTACAAAAGATTTATCAAAGACTTTTGCCAACAATTTATGCCCTACTGATTCGCATGTTTCTAAGGAAGACTATTTCATTTTACAAAACTTAAACTAATATATTACTATTGAAATAATTTTGTTTAAACTTCATTTAACAAAAGAATCGTTTTCCGAATCGTGATCAATATTAGTTTATCTCAGTGACGTATACGAAAACGAAAAAGTGGAAAAAAGATGGTGAAACTTAAAAAACTAACTTAGTACGATGAAATTTTGGCTTGTGAATCGAATATTTAAAACTTTAAAAGAAGGAAGGTCAAATGATAACTTAGAAATTAAAAACTCATGATACTAAT